AGGCACCTTTCTCTATCCCAATGCGCCTTCGGATTTCAGTGTCGCACTTTCCGCCTTCTATTAATACACTTCACAGATATTTTAATTTGTGTACTTGTTTAATTTTATTATCACCAATTTCTTTGGTTTGGTTTGGTTTATTTTACGGCATATCAACACCTAAATGTGTTATTTAATGCCGATGAGATTTTTTGTTGCTGGTAATATTTTTTTTTTTAATTGTATTGCTGGTAATATTTTTCCCCTCAAAAATGTATTGCCGGTAATATTTTTTCCCTCAAAAATGTATTGCTGGTAATATTTTTTCCCTCAAAAATGTATTGCTGGTAATATTTTTTCTTCAAATATGTACTGCTAGTAATATTTTTTTTCTTCAAAAATGCATTGCTGGTAATAATGTATTGCTGGTATGAAAACCTATTTTTAAACTTTCACAGTGTTTTCACCCATAGTTTGAAGGTTAACGATTTGCCCATAGTTTGGTTCCTAACAGGTACTACCACCCCTGGTCAGAGTTGACCTGGGAAAACAGCTTCTTCCCAAGTATTGATACCTCGTGGAACAGACTCAAAGAAAGGATGCTTCTCCGATCCCTATGGTTTCGTTTGGTTTGTTTTACAGCATATCAACCGTAAGGTGTTATTTAATGCCGACAAGATTTTTTATGGCTGGTAAATTTTTTTTTCAAAAAAATGTATTGCTGGTAATATTTCTTTATACAAAAATGTATTAGTGGTAATATTTTTTTCTTCAAAAATTTTGTAGTTGGTAATTTCTTTTTTTCAAAAATATAATGATGGTAATATTTTTTCTTCAAAAATATATTGCTGGTAATAATTTTTTTCTTCAAACATTCATTGCCAGTGATATTGTTACAAACATGTATTGCTGGTATTAAATCCATTTTTACACTTTTATTGTGTTTTGACTCCAGTTTGGGTGCTAATCATTTACTCTAGCTGGGACCCTAACAGGTGCTACCACTCCGGGTCAGTGGACCGGGGAACACCAGCAGTTAAGAGGTGGTTCCACACTCCTCAAAATCTGATGATTAGAGGCGTTGCTGTTGGATATAGTTTATAGTCATACCCACGACGCGGATGTAGTTTACCGGCTTACCCAGGACGCGGGTGTAGTTTACCGTCATACCCAGGACGCGGATGTAGTTTATCGTCTTACCCAGGAAGCGGATCTAGTTTACCGTCTTACCCAGTACGCGGATGTAGTTTATCATCTTAACCAGAATGCCGGATGTAGTTTATCGTCTTACCCAGGACGGGGATGTAGTTTATCGTCTTACACAGGACGCGGATCTAGTTTACCGTCTTACCCAGGACGCGGATGTAGTTTATTGTCTTACTCACGGCGCGGATCTAGTTTACCATCTTACCCACGACGCGGGTGTAGTTTACCGTCAAACCCAGGACGCGGATGTATTTTATCGTCTTATCCAGAATGCCGGATGTAGTTTATCGTCATACCCAGAACGTTTCTCAATTTGTAACTTGCATGTTGGAATGTTTCTTTTTGCAACAAGTATTCCGTTTTCGTACAATTTTTGTTTTGTCATTTCCAGTCACTTATTTTCACTGCTTTCTGTAGGTGTCTTTGTAGTTTTCTTTATATGTCTACTATCAACACCGTGCCATCTGCATAAGTTTGTGGCCGCCAATAATGAATCCTGAAATTACAAGAATCCATCAAAATCCATAGACACGGTTTGCTCTGGAACAATGTGTAGATCTTGCAAGATAATTCGCCTGTACACAATCTCTCAGACGCAGAAATAGTAGAGAAGCTCTTGTAGGCACGAAACTCTTGCTCATGTGGCACCTTCTGATTTTCCCTTCTTTCCACCTATGAAGTAATATTTCAAAAGTAGACACTTCCGGGATAAGGATTAATGAGGTTGGGTCCTTGAAATCGTTTCAACCTGCGAGGTTCTACAAGAGAGGGACTCTGTAAGATGAAAGATGTGAGTAAATCTGGATGTAAGATATGTACAAAGAAAGATTGATCAATGTGGCTGTTTTGAATCTCTTCAAGCATTGTAAAATCGATCATGATTTAATGGATGGCCTTTGTATCTACCTAATATCGCACTTGGTATTTCCGAGGGTGAGAAAAGAAAAGAGAATAAAGGAAGTCATTGGAATGGGAAGGATAAAATGAAAGGGAAAAGATCAGAAGGAAATGGCTGGAAGAACGAACAAAAGAAAACGTCACTGCAAAATGGTGGATGGAAATGAAAGAAAGAAAGAAAGAAAGAAAAAAGAAAGAAAGAAAGAAAGAAAGAAAGAAAGAAAGAAAGAAAGAACTCGGCAGAACAGGAAAAGGAAGTAAAGATGATGACAGAAAAGAAAGAGAGAAAAAAGCAGAATGGAAACAAGAAAGATAAATAAAAAGAAAACAGAAGAGAAATGGAAGCAGAAAGAAAGAAAGAGAAAGATGGAAAGCAAGAAAGATACAAACAAAAAGAGTGTAAGCGAAAGAAAGAAAGAAATAAAGAAATAAATAAATTGATATAACAGAAGAAAATGAAAATTAATCAACAGAACAGAAGAAAGAAAGAAAGAAAGAAAGAAAATACACGGGAAACAAGAAAGAAACAAAACAATCAGAAAGAAAGAAAATAATCAAGATGGAAGAGAAGAAAGAAAGAAAGAAAGAAAGAAAAGAAAGAAAGAAAGAAAAAGAAATAAAAAAAAAATAATCAGAAAAGAAAGAAAAGAAAAAAGAAAGAAAATCAAAGAAAATACAAAAACAAGAAAAGAAACAAAAAAGAAAGGAAGAAGAAAAGAAAAAGATGAAAGAAAAAAAGAAAGAAAGAAAGAAAGAAAATAATCATGGGAACAAGAAAAAATGAAAGAAAAAAATAAAGAAAAGAAAAGAAGAAAGAAGAAAGAAAGAAAATAAAAGAAAATACACGGGAAACAAAGAAAGAAAGAAAATAAAAAGTGGGAGATGGAAGAAAAGAAAAAAGAAAAAGAAAATAAAGAAAGAAGAAAGAAAGAGAAAATAATCAAGAAAAAAGAAAGAAAAAAAGAAAGAAAAAGAAAGAAAATAAACGGGAAACAAGAAAGAAAGAAAAGAAAATAATCAAGAAAGAAAGAAGATGGAAGAAAAAAGAGAAGAAAGAAAGAAAAAAAAAGAAAAGAAAGAAAGAAAGAAAGAAAAAAAAAAGAAAATACACGGAAAGAAAGAAAGAAATAATCAAAGAAATGAAAGAAAAAAGAAAGAAAGAAAGAAAGAAAATACACGGGAATAATCAGAAAAGAAAGGAAAGAAAGAAAGAAAAAGAAAAGAAAGAAAAAAGAAAGAAAGAAAATAATCAGAAAGAAAATAAGAAACAAAGAAAAAGAAAGAAAATAATCAAGAAATGGAAGATGGAAAGAAAAAAAAAAGAAAGAAAAGAAAGAAAAGAAAAAGAAAATGAAAGAAAAAAGAAAGAAAGAAAAGAAAGAAAATACACGGGAAACAAAGAAAGAAAGAAAAATAATCAAAAAAAAAAGAATAAAAGAAAGGAAGAAAGAAAAAAAGAAAGAAAAGAAAGAAAGAAAGAAAGAAAGAAAGAAAGAAAGAAAAAAGAAAATACACGGGAAACAAAGAAAGAAAGAAAATAATCAAGTAAAGATGGAAGAGAAGAAAGAAAGAAAGAAAGAAAGAAAGAAAGAAAGAAAGAAAATACAGGGAAACAAAGAAAAAAGAAAATAATCAAGAAATAAGAAGAAGAAAGAAAAAGAAAGAAAAGAAAGAAAGAAAGAAAGAAAGAAAAAAAAGGGAAGAAAGAAAAAAAAAGAAAAGAAAGAAAAAGAATGAAAAAAATACAAAGGAAACAAGAAAGAAAGAAAATAATCAAGTAAGATGGAAGAAAGAAAGAAAAGAAAAGAAAGAAGAAAAAAAAAAAAGAAAGAAAGAAAGAAAGAAAGAAAGAAAGAAAATAACGGGAAACAAGAAAAAAGAAAATAATCAGAAGAAAGATGGAAAGAAAGAAAATAAAAGAAAGAAAAAAAGAAAGAAAGAAAGAAAGAAAAAAAAATACACGAAAAAAGAAAGAAAAAATGGAAAAGAAAGAAAAAGAAGAAAAGAAAAAAAAAAAAAAGAAAGAAAGAAAATACACGGGAAACAAGAAAGAAAGAAAATAATCAAAGAAAGAAAAAAGAAAAAAAGAAAGAAAGAAAATAATCAAGAAAAAGAAAAAGAAAGAAAGAAAGAAAGAAAAGAAAATAATGAAAAAACAAAGAAAGGAAAAGAAAGAAAAAAATAATCAAAGTAAGATGGAAGAAAGAAAGAAAGAAAAAGAAAAGAAAGAAAAAAGAAAAAGAAAGAAAATACACACAGAAAGAAGAAAAGAAAGAAAGAAGAAAGAAAATAAAAATGGAAAAAGAAACAAGAAAAAGAAAGAAAGAAAAAAGAAAGAAAGAAGAAAGAAAATAAAAGAAAAAGAAAAAAGAAAGGAAGAAAAAAAGAAAGAAAAAAGAAAAAAAGAAAGAAAAAAAAAGAAAATACACGAAAAAACAAGAAAAAAGAAAATAATCAAAGTAAGATGGAAGAGAAGAAAGAAAGAAAGAAAGAAAGAAAAAAAGAAAGAAAGAAAGAAAAGAAAGAAAGAAAATGGAAGACAAAGAAAGAAAAGAAAAGAAAATAAAAGAAGGAAATGAAAGAAAGAAAAAGAAAAGAAAACACGAAAGAAAGAAAATAATCAAAGAAAAAAGAAAAAGAAAGAAAGAAAGAAAAAAGAAAGAAAGAAACAAAGAAAAAGAAAAACAAAGAAAATAATCAAGAAAGAAAGATGGAAGAAAGAAAAAAAAAAAAAAGAAAAAGAAAGAAAGAAAGAAAGAAAAAAGAAAGAAAGAAAATACACGGGAAACAAGAAAAAAGAAAGATGGAAGAAGAAATGAAAAGAAAAGAAAAAAAGAAAGAAAGAAAAGAAAAAAAGAAAGAAAGAAAATAATGAAACAAAAGAAAAAATAATCAGAAAAGATGAAAGAAGAAAATAATCAGAAGAGAAAGAAAGAAAGAAAGAAAGAAAGAAAGAAAAGAAAGAAAAAAGAAAAGAAAATAACAGAAAGAAAGAAAATAATCAATGGGAAACAAAGAAAGAAAGAAAATAAAAGAAAAATGAAAAAAGAATATAGAAAAAAGAAATGAGACGACAGAAAGAAAGAAAAACGTTGACAACAGAAAGAGAAAAAATCAATAGAACAGAAGGAAGGAGAAAACGAAGATAGAAATAAATAAAGAAAGAAAGAAAGAAGGGAAGAAAGAAAGAAAGAAAGAAAGAAAGAACGGATGAAAAATGTTGGTAAAAGATAAAGAAAGAATTTGTTAGAAAAGGAAGAAAACTTGACAGAACAGAAAGAAAAAAAAAGAACATGAAAAATCAAATGAAAGCAGCAAAGACGACAAAAAGTAAAGAACAAAAGAAAGACAGAAAGAAAGAAAGAAAGAAAGAAATCGACGTAACACAAGAAAGTCAGAATGAATGAAAGAAAGAAAAACGAAAGAAACTAACAAAAGTGTAATATATAAATAAAGAGAATAAAGAATAAAATATATGAAAGCGAAAGAGTGACAATGATATAAAAAAGCAAAAGAATAAAAGAATAAAGCAAATTCGAAGAAAAGACGAGGAGAAACTAAGCTAGAAAATGCATGTGTGCGCATGCGCATGCGCATGTCTTTTTAATCTTTTAGTAACAACAAATGCTTCACTGCTTAATCTAAAATAAAAACTTTGCTGATATTGGTTCCTTTTGAGTAAACAAACAACAATTGGGCGTTCAATGGTGAGTTTTAATTAACGTCTTTGAAATGTGTTTTCTGATCAAACCAATCAAATGCACCTTGAACCACGGTAATAAGAAGTCTTTACAAAATACAACATAGCAATTACTCTATAACTGGAGCTAAAATTTTAAACAAGTGAGAATTCATTTTTCGGTTTAGATTAATAACCTTCGACAGAAGTGAAAATAGCTTCATTGACGTATTTCAGAAATCAGAGGTTCGAGACTGCAAAACAGACGAATATAGCTCCAAAACAGATGAATATAACTCCATGTCAAGATCGTTTGACTGTATTCAAAGATCAGATAGGTTACGGCTTAGGTTAAATAATTCGACAAAAAAAAATCTGATCCGTTTATCATACATTCACCAAGATAGTAAATCAAACAAGAAAATGTAATTAAAACGTTTTGATCTTATGCCGGCCGGATTAAAATTCTAGACAACAAAAGTGCGACTGCTCGTGGTCATTTGAAAAGAAAAGTCACATGTTCAACTCTCAACTTCTAAGCAGACCTTGATTCTTCTGAGATCAAGATAGTGGGGTACTTACAGTTGTACTGATCAAAGTACCTTCACAGAAAAGAAATGAAAAAGAGATGAAAGCAAAGAAAGAAAGAAAAAAGAAAGTTTTGAAATAAATTCATTTTGACATGTTTCGCCTATGACGCGCCATCATCAGAAAAAATAATTTTATTTCTAATAAACTGACAATAAAAAAGAAAGATTATAAAAGAAAGAAAGAATTTCATAAAAAAGTAAACAGAATGAGAAAAACAAATTAACAGAACTAAAATAAATAAATAAAAAAAGAAAGCAAGAAAGAAAGAAAGAAAGAAAGAATACACAGAAACAAAAATGAAAAAAATAATCAGAAGAAAGGGGGGAAGAACAGATGGAAAGAAAGAAATAAAGAAAGAAAGAAAGAAAGAAAAAAGAAAATACACGTGAAAAAAGAAAGAAAATAAATAGAAGAAAGAAAAAAGAAAGAAAGAAAGAAAGAAAGAAAGTAAGAGAAAAAGAAAATACACGAGAAAAAAGAAAGAAAGAAAATAAACAGCAAAAAGAAAAAATAAATAAATAAATAAAGAAAGAAAGAAAGAAAGAAAGAAAGAAGCTGACAGAACAGAAAGAAAGATAATGACAAACGGGAAATAAGAATGAAAGAAAATAATCGCAAGAAAGAGGGAAGAAAAGAAAGAAAGAAAGAACGAAAGAAAGAACGAAAGAAATGTGATAAGTCGATGGAACAAAAGAAAGAAATAAAGAAATCGAAAGAACAGAGGAAAGAAGGAAAGAATATATTAGCCGAATTCAAAGAATTTGGGATTCATCATCATTGCTCACTTGAGAAGACTGGAACTGACATAAAACGATTTTAACCTGTTCTCTTTCTAGCTGACTCACTCAAAGGGGTTTTCAATGATTCTTACGTCAAATGGTATCATGATGTCTAAAGGTCTTACCTGAAAACCTGGGAAATACTAACTCAATGTGTTTAGTGTTTTTTTTTTTTAAATATTAAGTATTTTGTGGGATGGAGAATTATGCTATAACACGATTTGGACAATTTTGCTGTTACACCCGCTTAGTTAATGCAAATAATTTCGTCAGATTTTTTCCAGATTGAAAAAATAGAACTCCCTTAGGATTAGTTTCATTTCTTCAGACAAAAGTAATTTATATAATTTGAATAAACAGACGTTTCATTTAAAAAGCATTGCATATGTTAACACTATTATCAGCGTCTGCCTTGGAATAAGATAATAGGATTCATAAAATCTGTCTATTTAGTTGGCAATTTTGATGAGAGGGGTCGGCGTTCGAATTTAGATTAAAGCTTTTACTTCGACAACTGATTTTCAAGGCTAGCAGGTCTTTCCTATTTGGGGAGACTGACACAGCATCCGCACATGTTTGAAAAAGTATGATCCTCTCTAAGACCTACAGGATAGATTCGCTTGATGCTATTTTTAATAACAGATATGAGGAAGCGGTTGACAGTTTTGGCATTTCTATGCTGTTTAGGCGCCATGGATGATCTCCATATGAAAGTTTCAATCTGCCGAGGCTGTTTAAGTAAATGGTTTCAATATTCATAGGTTAAGGTTTTTTTTCTACATCTAGCGGTGTGGGGCAAAACGAGCCGTAATGCAATTCCAATAGCCTTATCTTCTCTACTAAATTTGTTATAACTAATCCAATATACCGAGGTAATTGAAGTTTAGTATTTCACCTCAAACAAGGTGATAATGCCTCTAAGACGCAAGGGGCTACTGGGAGTGAAGTAGAATGAGAAAACTTTAGAAGGAACTGGAATCACAATCCTAAACATGAAATAAGGGATAAACCTCTATACCTTTTTAAAAGTCCGGAGAGGAGTGTGAACCGGACGATAGGGAGCCTATCTACTCCTATTGGGGAAAAATAAATAAGTAAAAACATTTGAAAGTTTTAAGCGAAGATGTTATAAGTATAGAGTCATAGTAACGTTTACAAGGAACTGGAAACCCAATCCGAAACAAGAAACAACGATTAAACCTCTACTCATGTTCAAAAGACTGGGGAGGAGAGTGAACCGGGTGATAATATAAGTATACTATGCATTCTGATTTTTTTATGATGGATTCAGCGTAGGTGCAATTACTGGTTTCATTCCAATTCCAGATCACCGTTTCTATTTTTGGAAGCTTCATTTTGAAAAGTCTTGAACTGTTTGTATAGGAAGATTTGTTCAAGACCATGATCATATCCCACCATGGTTGCGAATATTGCGCTGTGACTTCCGACGTGGCTCAAATACATTATTATACAAGCGTGTGGCTGATGTAGGGCTTGAAACACAATAGTAAACATGCTTGTTACTGATGTAGAAAGCTTGAAATATGAGTGTTTTCGTAAAGGTTCTGCTGTTCGTTTAAGGAGCTTAGATCATCTTGCAATTCCGCCTAAACCATAAAATTCTTCTTTTTTTTTTTTTTTTTTTTTTAAATTAATATCCTGGTTTTATGCAATCAAGTTCACATTGTCAATATCATGGGAAAACATCAAGGAAGATTATTACGAAATAATTCATAGAAATGCTAAGGTTGTGCAAAAAAGGCAAGTATAAAAATCATCAAATTGTGGAATTTGGAATAAAAAATGAAATTTGTAAGGAATTTGTGGGATTTGGCAAACGTTCCAGAAGAATATATGACAACTGTTTAAATATGAGGGTGAATAAAAAAAATAATACAATTTATTTTATTACATAAGAAATAAGGAACACAATCAATCATACCGTACAGCAAGATATCGCTATACATCACTGGTTCACATCACTATTTCTCAGCATAATCACCCCCTCTTTCAATGCCAGTGTCCCACATACGAATGAGGGAGTGTATTCCACATGATGTAGACAATTATTTACACTATCATAATGCTTTCCAGTCGGTGCCACTTGGATCAAAGTGCTGTGAAAAGTAAATTGTTAAAGAAATAACAAAACAAGTGTTGCAGATATATCATATATTAAAACAGACCAAGTATTACATGACTAGTGAGTGTGTGTCGGTTGACCCAGCGTCCATTCTAAGGCCTTCTCTCCTACTAATTTTATAGTAGGCGGAAGATTCCAACATTTTAGAGGGAGGACACCACAGCACAAAAGGATGGCAGTTTTATGAACGTTTACATGAGTTTCTCTTTCGGCAACAAATAATTTGATTACTGCTTGAATACTGCAACAAATAAATCCATTACAGCAAGTTTCACCTTGTATAAGGTACAGTGTTAAGTGGTAGTCTATATGGATAGAAGAGGAAGATGACGTTTAACTTTAGACTTGAACAGGTTAAGAGAGTCTGTTCCACCGGGTTTGAAGCGGTTTGAGTAGAACTTACTACTCGTCGATGAAATACGAAGGGAATCTGAGTGGGTTGCTACTATGTGAGTGTCATGATGGGTCCTAACCATGAAGGGTAAACTTGACGGAACCAAGGAATATAGTTTCTTTGAGTTCTTTCTGTTGTGGAGTGATTTCACAGTGCAGGGTTGTATTCGTACTAAGTCGGTCCTAAAATAGATTCGACGTACAAAACGTTAGGTACACCATATAATAGGTATGACGCGGAGAAATCTAGTTGTGGTCGGTGATACTTTAGTTTCCGACTAACGGTCGTCCGGTATCGACTGACTGACTGACCGACCCACTGAGCGATATTCAGTCACCCCCGCCACGAGGGCATCATGTGGCACAAGGCCGGTTTAACGTGGGATCTCCGTGCCCGTGGGCTCGGCCAAAAATATGCCCATTTGAACCCGCATAAACGGATTCACGCTCGATCTACTTTCCCGAAAGAGACTTCGCCCTTCGGCGTAGCCTCGTTCGGGTTCCTCCCCGCCCGAAGGCAGAGAGTTTGTCGGAGTTAACTCCTCCTTCAGTCCGTTAACCCTTTCACCAGGGGTCTCTCTTCCCTTGGCCTCTATCTCTTTTTTCCTTCAGGCCTGTGCACCAACACCTCGAGGTAAATTTCTCTTTTTCCTTGAGGATTTCAGCTATCAACCGCGAAATGTAGGCGCTAACAAGGGATAGCGTGTAATCACGCTAAGCACAATATTCACACACGCACACACACACAGAATATTCACACACGCACGCACATGCAAGATATTCACACACGCACGCACATACAGAATATTCACACACGCACGCACATACAGAATATTCACACACACTTCGTCCTTTGTACTGTTTCCATGTATTGTAACTTGTTATTAATATATATTTGTATATACATATATTATCGGTCTTGTTTTGTTTGCTTTCTTTACCTTCTACTTGATTATTTCTCTTGTTGTTGTCTTTGTTACATTTGATATTGTAAAAATTGTAGAGGGTCAGTTTTTATTTCTATTTATAACCAATACAAATTGGCTGACCCACTATAAGTTCAACCGATCAGCCCGTCGTCCAACTTCAGACTGAAATCAGATCGACCCACTGACGATATTCCGTCACCGCCTCCACCCCCACTGGGGCATCATGTGACACAAGGTACGTTATTTATTGTGGGTTCTCCGAGCTCGTGGGCTCGGCCCCCCAAAATGCCCATTGAACCCGTATAAACGGGCTCAGGGCCGGTTTACCTCCCCGAACGAGACTGCGCCCTTCGGCGTAGACTCGTTCCGGTTCCTCCCTGCCCGAAGGCAGAGAGTTCAACCGGTCAGCCGGTCGTCCGACTTCAGAGTGAAATCAGACCGACCCACTGAGCGACTCGTTACTCTTAATACTCCTACTTATTATAGGTGGGAGAGTCTATTAACTATAGAATAGGTGTGTCCCACTATAAAACTTTCACTGATAGGAGCGATAGAATAGTGAGAGATTCGCCACATCCTGCCTGTGAGAGAGAGAGAGTGAGAGAGAGGTTGGAGGGTGGGAAATAATTCTTCTCCAACAAGGATTCGGAGACACTTTTGAACTCTATTAAGACTGGAAATGAGGACTGCGAAGATCTCGCCTAATTATAGCAGCAATACTTCATTTTCCAGTTACTGGAGCGGTACACTGAACCGATCATTTTAATTGCATCTATAGCGATGGCTCGAATCAGCTTATTTATTCATATATTTAAAACACAAATCAAACACAAAATTAGTCAATTAAAGATCACTGCGTATCTGTCGTTATATATGTCCCGAAACTAGTATAATTTCATTGAGAAATACGCCTCCTATGACAAACATTAAATTTTTTAGACATTTTCTTACGAGAGGAAAGTAAAAAGAATTATTTATGACCATTTCAAATGAATCTTTGTGTCATTTTTGATAAACGTCATATTTGCCGACCCAAGATACATTTTACTATAATTCATATGTATCATATCGATATGAACTTATTAAAACAAATTCGACATTTTAAAGAATTAACAAAACTAAAAACTAAAATATATAATGATAATTTCTCGTTCCAGTAATTTAGACAGAAAACTAAAAATGGCAGTAATCATTTATGTTTCTTCCAACATAACAGGTTCCGTTGGGACGGCGTAATATATAGGAAGGCTTCATTTGTTAGCATTGTTATGAATTTATAGGTAATTAATCTCTTTATGCCACCACTCCCAG